CTGTGCAACATCCCAGGTCATGTTGCTTCCCGCTGTCATCGCCGCTTCAAGCAGGACTTCCTCGGCGTCGGCAACAATGGCAAAGGCAACGAGAAACAAGCTTCCTTGGCCACTCATGAGCCTGCTCGTCAAGCAGGCCACACTACATCATATCCCATTGATCCAACATGGTATATGGACACGGGCGCTATGAATCATTTGACGGGTGAGATGGGCAAACTCTCAGTTCAGGAGCCATACCGTGGTAATGATCAGGTTCACACCGCCAGTGGAGCAGGTATGCACATATCACATGTTGGTCAGGCCTCTCTTTTAACTCATAAACAGAAATCTCTCCATCTTCGTAATGTCCTTAGAGTTCCTTCTGCTACTCGTAGCCTATTGTCTGTTCCTCAGCTTACTCGTGATAACAATGTTTTCACTGAGTTTCATCCTTTTTATTTTTTTATCAAGGATCGGGCCACGAGGGACGTTCTGCTTAGAGGTCGCCTGCGCGATGGATTATATGCACTTGATCTGCCTTCTGCCCCTCGAGCACTCACTGGTGTCCGTGTGTCGCCTACTCATTGGCATGCACGGCTCGGCCATCCTGCCACTCCCATAGTTCGTAGTGTTCTTCATCGTCATAGTCTTCCCGTTGTGTCCAATAAAGATGTTGCCACCGTCTGTGATGCCTGTCAAGAAGGCAAGAGTCATCAGCTTTCGTTTTCTGATTCGAGTCGTGTCGTCAAAACTCCACTTGAGCTTATTTATTCTGATGTATGGGGGCATGCCCAAACTTCTGTGAGCGGTCATAATTATTATGTCAGTTTTATTGATGCTTATAGTCGGTTCACTTGGCTTTATCTTATCAAACGTAAATCCGATGTGTTTGATGTGTTCCTGCAATTTCAAGCTCATGTTGAGCGTCTTCTTAAGCATAAGATTATTCATGTTCAGTCAGATTGGGGGGTGAATATCACAACCTCAATTCCTTTTTTAATAAGCTTGGGATTTCGCATCGCGTGTCTTGTCCTCATACACATCAGCAGAATGGCACGGCTGAACGTAAGCATCGTCACATTGTCGAAACCGGTCTCACCTTACTTGCTCATGCATCAGCACCTTTTCGTTTTTGGAGTGATGCTTTTTCTACTGCCTGTTTTCTCATAAATAGGCTTCCTACACTTCTCCTTGGGATGAAAACACCACTTGAACTATTGCTTAATGAGGTTCCAGATTATACTTTTCTCAAAGTTTTTGGTTATGCATGCTGGCCTCATCTTCGTCCTTATAATAAGCACAAGCTCGAGTTTCGGTCCAAACTTTGTGTATTTCTTGGGTATAGCTCTCTTCACAAAGGGTACAAGTGTCTTCATATTCCATCCAACCGTGTCTATATCTCGCGTGATGTTGTGTTTGACGAGAGTGTATTCCCGTTCTCGTCTTTGTCCATAACTCCCACCCCTCCAGCCTCCTCCTTGCAATCCACCCCTCCACTGCCTGCTCAATTTGTTGATATTGCATATTCTCCTGCGTTGTTGCCTAATCATGCTGCAGGAACGGGTCGTGGAGTTCGCCTGGAGTTGCTGGAGGAGCCGGAGCCATCAACTGCACCCGACGTGGCGAATGGCCTTGTGCATGCGCCATGCATGCCTGGACTGGGCGCCTCGGCGTCGGCTCTGTCCGTGCCGGCCTCTTCTGAGGCTGGGTCGGTTCCGCCTGGGCCGGCCTTGCCCGGGCTGGTCTCCCCTGCGCCGGCCTCCCCCGAGCCGGTGATTCCATCTGGGCCGGCCTCCCCCGAGCTGGTGCTCCCATCTGGGTCGGCCTCTCCTGAGCCGGTGAGCTCGCCTGGGCTGGGCTGCCGCGCCTCGGTTGGCCTTGAGCCGACTGACTCGCCCATCCAGTCGAGTCTGTCGCCAGGGTCGGCCTCTCCTGGGTCAGCCTCGTCCTCGCCTGTCGCCGCTGCATCGTCACCAGCTGCGTCGGATACTTCTTCATCGCCGGGGCCGTTGCCACTGGTTGCACCACCTGCGACCGTTCCTCTTCGACCACATACTCGCAGTCGATCCGGTATTGTGTGTCCCAAGCAACGCAAAGATGGGACGATCGCCTGGTTTGCGGCATGTGTTGCTCATGTCAAGGAAGATCCTTCGGCTGAACCGCGTCACTTCCAGGTTGCTCTCGGGATTCCTCATTGGCGTCAAGCTATGGAGCAAGAGTATCAGGCATTGTTGACAAATGGTACTTGGCAGCTTGTTCCTCCGGTCTCTGGTGTCAATGTCATTGATTCCAAGTGGGTCTTCAAGGTTAAGAAGCATGCTGATGGTTCTATTGAACGCTATAAGGCACGGTTAGTGGCGAAAGGGTTCAAGCAAAGGTATGGTCTTGACTATGAGGATACGTTCAGTCCGGTGATCAAACCAACAACTATTCGACTTCTGTTGTCCTTGGCTGTTACTCGGGGCTGGTTTCTTCGTCAGCTGGATGTTCAGAATGCCTTTCTTCATGGTGTTCTGGATGAGGAGGTTTACATGCGTCAGCCCCCTGGTTTTGTTGATCCTGCTCGTCCTCATCATCTGTGTCGCCTGGTCAAGGCGCTCTATGGGTTGAAGTAGGCTCCTCGTGCTTGGCATGCCAGATTGGGCTCTGTTCTTCGGTCACTTGGTTTTGTTCCCTCTACTGCTGACACCTCGCTCTTCCTTCTGCATCGACCTTAGGTGACGATGTATCTTCTGGTATATGTTGATGACATCATCCTCATTAGCTCCTCGGATGCTGCTGCTGACCGTCTGATATCTTCCTTGAGTGGAGATTTTGTGGTGAAGGATTTAGGAACGTTGCATTACTTCCTTGGGCTGGAAGTTTCACGTTCTTCTGCTGGCTTGACACTCACACAGCATAAGTATTCGATGGACCTGTTGCGACGGGCAGGTATGCTTAAATGCAAACATGTCATGACTCCTATGTCTGCTACTGATCGTCTGTCTGCGTTTGATGGAGATCCTCTCACCTCTGATGACGCCACTGAGTATCATAGCGTTGTTGGTGGCCTGCAGTACTTAACTATCACTCGGCCAGATCTCTCATATGCAGTCAATCGTGTCTGCCAATTTCTTCATGCTCCTCGGACTTCTCATTGGACAGCGGTGAAGCGGATTCTTCGTTATGTTTGCTTTACTGCCTCATATGGTTTGCTCCTTCAGCCAGCACCGTCTCCTATGCTTTCTGCTTTTTCAGATGCTGACTGGGCTGGTAATCCAGATGACAGGCGATCCACGGGAGGACATGTTGTCTTCTTTGGTCCTAACTTGATCGCCTGGGCTGCTCGCAAACAAGCTACAGTGTCCAGGAGTAGCACTGAAGCAGAATATAAAGCCGTTGCAAATGCTACAGCTGAGATCATATGGGTACAGTCCTTATTGAGAGAGTTGGGAGTTCCTCAAACTCAGCCGCCTGTCCTTTGGTGTGATAACATTGGAGCTACATATCTCTCATCTAATCCAGTGTTTCATGCTCGGACAAAGCACATAGAAGTTGACTATCATTTTGTACGGGAACGTGTTGCACAGAAGCTACTCCACATCAAGTTCATCTCCTCCAAAGATCAACTTGCTGACATTTTCACGAAGCCTCTTCCACAACCTCAGTTTGTAGGCTGCAGGCGCAATCTTAACATACTTTGTACTTCAGGGCATAGTTAAGATTGAGGGAGGGTGTTAGACTGTATTTACATATAGCTTCTGTATATGTCTTGTATATTGTATCGTACACCTTGGTGTACCCCTTATATATATGAGATAGCCACACCCTTAACGGGTGTCGTGCAGTTTCCCAAAACCCTAAGTCTTACAAGGAGGAGGTGCCCGCACGAGGACGGGGTCGAGCCGAGCCCGGGATATCGGCAACGGCCTCGGCAACCTCCATGCCCCAACCTCAGCGCTACATCCTCCACATGGCCCCCGTACCCTAGCCCCAGGTAGTACAATTTGTGCTCGGACTTTTCCTTAATAAAAATTACGACTTTGTGTAGTGGCAGGCCTTAATTCATTCATCTATTTGGGTGCCAGGTCGTGATTTGGTTCGATTGGACGCATAAATTATTGGTTGGAGGCGATGAAGGTGGGGACTGGGGAGTGGGAGGAAGGCAGCAGTCACTCATTTGCCAAATAACTGTACTGTAAGTGAAACTCGACAGCCCAGCTGGTTCACAAATAAGCGTTCGTTCAGGACGATTCTGTTGGAGATTCTGTGGAGCATGATAGATGTCCCGTCGAGGGCGTATACTCATTAGTATTAATTTGTTATCATGCCATGGATTTAATTATGTCGAGCATCTCTTTCAAGATTCTCAGATAATTCATGTCCGACAGTCCGAGGAAGCTTGATGATGGGGATAGATTGTTGTGGATCATTGACCAACTTTCCTGCAAGTGCGACCAAGACAGACTTAGTCTTTGGCATCATGCCATGTCCATTTCTTTACCTTGATAACTGACCTGCTGGCACGTTGCAGAGTCAGCTAACTTGTGCTTGGGCTTACAATAGGATGCTTCATCCAACTGTAACATATGTCATGTGCAATTTCTTTCTTTCTTTCTTCGTTACTTGGATGGCGGCAAAGAAATAATGGTCAGTGGGGAGCCAGCTTGCCCCTTTTTCCTGATAATATTCGGCTCACTTGATGCTTCCATTTGGCGGATCCTGGGGTGCACAAGCTGTAGACTGCATAACAAGCAGAGAATGGTATTTGTACTTCGATAGACTGGTTTATTCACGCGCATTTTTTTACCCACATAAACCTCACAAGTTTCTTTTCTGCTCAGATTTTTTTCAATCATCTGGGGCATGTCTGAGGGGAAAAAAAATTATCATCTTGGGCGTGACATGAATAGAACCAAGCCAAACAAGCCGGCGGCCCGGCACTGAAGAGGTTTCAACTCCCCTACCCTTCCAACATATATCTAAGCACGTACACAAAGCATTTAACGAACATACTCCATTAGGACAAGAAGAGAGACATGGCTCCTCAAGTTTTTCGCACCCAATCTCTGATTGTTCCTTCCCACCATGCACTCTTTCTTCTCTGTGCCATCCTCCTATTTCTGTCCTCCAACACAATAGTGTTCACATCAGCACAAGCTAGCAACAAATCCGAGGATGACCGCCAAGCCCTTCTCTGCTTCAAAGCTGGCGTCTCAAGGGACCCCGCCGGTGTTCTCAGATCATGGCGCAACGACTCACTCAACTTCTGCACCTGGCAAGGAGTCGCCTGCAGCACGGCTATCCCAACCCGTGTCGTGTCCATCCAATTCAGGTCTACGGGGCTCACAGGAACACTATCCAGTTGCATAGCAGCCCTTACTTCTCTAGTGCAGATCGACCTTCCAAGCAATCAATTTTCTGGAAGCATACCTGATGAGATAAGTGAGCTTTGGAGCCTCCAATCCCTGAATCTTGCGGGCAACAATCTTGCAGGTAACATACCTCTGTCAATAGGTGCGTCAGCATCTCTTAGCTATGTCAATCTTGCAAACAATTCTCTTAGTGGAGTTATCCCTGATTCTTTAGCAAGTAGTTCGTCACTCGGTGAGATAACCCTCTCACGGAACAACTTAGCTGGGGTGATCCCAGCTAATTTGTTCAACTCATCCAAACTTCGTGTTGTTGATCTCCAGTGGAATGCTCTCTCTGGGGCTATCCCACATTTCCAAAAGATGGGAGCTCTGCAATTTCTTGCTCTTACAGGGAATGCACTTTCTGGTACCATACCATCATCTTTAGGAAATGTTTCATCCTTGCGTTCCCTCCTTCTAGCACAAAACATCTTATCAGGATCAATTCCGCAAACTTTGGGGCAAATTCCAAACCTAACAATGCTAGATCTGAGTTACAATAGATTCTCAGGGTATGTCCCAGCCACACTGTACAATGTGTCATCACTCATATACCTTAGCCTAGGCAGCAACATATTTATTGGACAAATACCTTCCGACATTGGCCACTCACTTTCGAATCTCAGAAAATTACTAATGGGAGCCAACAACTTTCGTGGATCAATGCCAGATTCCCTGACCAACATGTCAAAGCTCCAAGCGCTTGATATTTCAAGCAACTCGCTGACTGGCGTAATGCCGTCTCTAGGATCCTTAGCATACTTGAGTGAACTGGTTCTAGGAGATAATAAACTCGAAGCTGGTGACTGGGCATTCCTTGTTTCTCTCACCAATTGCTCTCAGTTGTTAAGATTATCAGTGGATGAGAATATCCTGATTGGAAATTTGCCAAAAGCAGTAGGCAACCTTTCAATAAACCTGGTGCGGTTAAACTTTGGAAGAAACCAAATTTCTAGAAACATACCAGCTGAGATAGGGAAGCTTGTAAATCTTGCTCTGCTTGACATGGGCCAGAACATGCTCTCAGGACCAATTCCCCTCACAGTTTGGAACTTGAGCAACTTGGTTGTCCTAAAACTTTCCAGGAATAGGTTGTCAGGTCAGATTCCATCAACAGTTGGTAATCTTGTTCAACTCAGCCAGCTTCATCTTGATGATAATGAATTGTCTGGAAACATACCAGAAAATATAGGACAATGCAAAAGGCTGCTTAGGCTAAACATGTCAGTTAACCGCCTTGATGGCCCCATACCAAGAGAACTCTTCAGTATTTCCTCTCTTTCATTGGGTTTGGACTTGTCAAGCAACAACCTGATTGGACTGATACCATGGGAAGTTAGTAACCTGATCAATCTTGGCCTCCTTGATGTTTCCGACAACAGATTATCTGGTAGCCTTCCTTCTGAACTTGGCCTGTGTGTTCAACTGCTATCCCTTCAGATCAGAAGCAACATGCTTAATGGGAGTATTCCCGAGTCTTTCAGCAAACTGAAGGTCATACAGCAGATAGATCTGTCCGAGAACAATTTAACTGGTCAATTTAACTGATGAGTTCATGGCAAACGGTAGCCTGGACATGTGGATACATCCGAGGCCTCACCGAGGCAGCCCGAGGAGGCTGCTGAGCTTGGGTCAGCGGATAATTATTGCTGCTGATGTGGCTGCTGCTCTGGACTATCTACACAACCAGCTGACACCTCCTTTGATCCATTGCGATTTGAAGCCAGGCAATGTTCTGCTGGACTACGACCTGACCTCACGCATCGGTGACTTTGGGTCCGCCAAGTTTCTCTCTTCAGGTATTGGCGGACCAGAAGGCTTGGTTGGTGTCGGAGGAACGATTGGATATATTGCACCTGGTAAGTTATACTTCTTTTTTTCTTTCTTTCAAACGACTGCTGAGTTCAACTCTAACCCCTTTTGTTTTCGTTAGTTTCCCAAGCATTTATGTGCACTCTCCTGTTTACAGAATACGGTATGGGATGCAAAATATCGACAGGCTATGATGTGTACAGCTTTGGGGTGCTGCTACTGGAGATGCTCACGGCAATTCGACCAACGGACGCACTATGCGGCGACGCCCTCAGCCTCCACAAGTATGTTGACCTAGCCTTCCCTGACAGAATCACCGAGGTTCTAGATCCCCATATGCCATCTGAGGAGGATCAGGCGGCTACGTCTCTACGTATTCAGAATTATATTATACCTTTGGTCGGTATTGGTCTGATGTGTACCATGGAATCGCCGAAAGACAGACCAGGAATTCACGATGTTTGTGCCAAAATCGTCGCCATCAGAGAGGCATTCGTTGAAACCTCATGATGACGGGCATAGTCATACAAAATTGTAGGTGTATCACTTGTAGTATAATATACCTGTAACAGTTTTAATTATGTACTATCTGATTAATAGCCACCGTTAATGCCATGTATCCGCCCAAAATAAGCGGTGTAGATCTTACTTTCTGTCTCATGTCGAAGTGAGTATTCTTTCTAGCATCTGAAATTAAGCGAATGGTGAAGCCCTTTTAAAACTTTGTTTCGCTGAATTATAGAGGCGCAGTTTCCTGCCTGAAATGCTACTAGTTAGGCATTTTTCACATTAGAAGATGTTGTCAGTTTTGGTTCTTTCCTTGGATTGGATCCATGAGCGAAGGTGTGTCAAATAATTTGCGGGTACACTATGCACATTTAAACATCTACTACTAGTAAAAGCACCAAGATAGGAGCATCAGGAAACTCTGTGGCCGTGACTTGTGCTTCCCAGGTTTCCTTTGATTCAGGGTTGTTTCCCCGACTCGGCAAGTTAAGTCAAGAATTTGGGGAAGGAAGGCTGCGGCTTTGGCTTTTCCGGGTTTCCACATGATTCGATCAGGTCGTTTACTCGACTCGGCAAGTTAGGAATCTCGGAAAAGGGAAGGCGGTGCCAAGAAATGGCTCGCCTTGCCTGAAATGCCATTATTATTATTATTATTCAGTTGCAGAGTTTATTCAGGTCAGTGTCGCCGGCTCTGATCCTGGATTTGGAGCCAAAAGTTTGAAATATTTTGCGGGCATTCGAATTTGAACATCTAGTCCAGTCATGAAACATGAGGAACTCAAAACAGGAGCAGCAGGAAACTCAGCTTCCGCGGCCTTCTGAAATTCAGGTTGATTCCTCAAGAAAAATACGAAATTTGGGGAAAAAAAAAGGAAAGGCCACGAATTCGGTCTCTCGTCAAGTCCGCAAGTAAGGAATTCGCAGGACAGGGCCGGTTCACCCTGAAGCATGGAATACCTGCCGGCCAGCGACGGAAAAGGAAAGAAGGCCTCGGCCGGCTGTGCCCAAAGGGAAGGAAAGGAATAATAACATACGTAGGCGCAGCCTGGACACAGAGACGAAAGTATATATAGTCGAGTGCACCATTGTCTGTCGCGAGTGGTTGAGCCAGGCCATCGCTGACCCGTCCGGCCGTCTTTCCCCTCCGCCGTGTTTGTCCAACAGCGCGCTGTCCGTCCCCCTCCACCACCCCGCCACCGTCGTCCGAGAGCATTGGAAGAAGCAGGCGGCTCCTCGGATGTCCTCCAGTGAGATTCCCAATAAGCAAGGTAAAAACGCCGAAATTTCACACGGGCAAAAATCAGTGCAAGGCACAAAGTGAGAGAAATAAAACCGATTTTATCTTGTCCATACTTCTTGCTCACAAGTACTCCCTCCGTCCCATAATATATTCAGACTTGCTAGAACTCATCTAGATGAGATATAATTTGGTCCCATTCACCTTTTATAGCCATTGGATGTGATGCTATAAGATGCGTGTGTGCTGACGTCAGTTGTATATGTTTCTGTTTTCAAAATGAATGAGACCAAATTATATCTCATCTAGATGAGTTCTAGGTACTCTCTAATAGTATATTTGTCAAAAACGTTCTTATATTTTGGAACAGAGAAAATACTGTATAATAAGACCCTTTTAGTAACAATACAGTGCGAGCCAAAATCCAAAGCAATTCAAAGGGTGCATATCTGAATACTCAGAGCTTAGCTACTCGTCAATAAACAAAATGACAAACTACTCCCTCCGGTCCATACTAAGTGTTGATGTCGTTTTGAACTAGCTGGGTTGAACTACTCGTAGTACAAAACCGCGACACTTATAAAATGACAACCATGCTACCATGCACCTAATTAATTCTTATGCAAGAGTTCATGTCATGCATCTTCTCTTGAGCTGCAACTTCCTTCCGTCGCATATTCAAGTTGTTTCCAACACCAAAACTGTCCAATATGCATGCCATGGCATCTGAACTGTTAGTTTACCCTATTAGCCCCTCTCGTATGCTCCACCCATCGGTATGTTGTTTCGTATATGCGGTCCAATACCCTGAAACGTATAGGATTAGAATCATTATCATATCTTTTTTCATTGTTGTTGTTGATTGTTTGATTTGTAGGAGGACTGAACTGAGTATACATTTCGTCGTGGCATTTTCTTATGAGACCACCTATCTGCATGCTGGTACGCCGCAGATGTGCACGAATCATGAAGAGCAATGGATGCGCGGTATCGTGGAAGGGCGGTGTGCTTTTCTTTTTTCCTTTTCTTTTGAGCACAGTGCATACGCAGGCGCTCGTACATACACGCATACACTCAACCCTATGAATGCACACGCGCACACCCTACCTTCTATGAGCACCTTTGAGAGACTGAGCTGGCATATTATCTTTGTTGTTGACGGGGACGTATCCTTCAACTAAACGCGCGTCGCCAAAAGCCCTGAATTAAATCCAGAAATAGTGCGAGCAGCAGAACTTGAAATCTGGTGAGTTGGGTATACAACACAGGACAATATGGTTGTGACGATGATGTTGATGGAGTGGTCTGACAATATATTTTGCAGTTGCAAATGGAGCGAACACGTAGACGTTGACCAAAACCAAGAGGGGAGGAGAGGAGCGTTTGGGTTTTGGCAGCCGGGCAGGGCCGGAAAGAAACCCCCGGTTTTGTGACGCTCCCGGCTCCCCAAGTCCCCCGACCCCTGCCAGGGGAGCCGCCTACCGGGGGGACTCGTCAGCCTCGTGCCAGCCCCCGCACCCCGCACCCCGCACGGCACCAGTCACCACCCAACCCGAGAGGAGCGCCGCCGCGGCACCATTTTTCCGAGCCGCCCGACCGCAGCGGCGGCCAAGGGGCCACGACCTCTTTGCGTTTCCGCCCCGGGCGGTCAGAGTATTCTATTCCTCCACCCGCCCCCTCGGCGATCTCAAGAGCTTCCAACCCAACCCCAACCCCAGCCCCAGCAAAGCTTTGGCCTTTCTCCTCTTCGAT